CGAGGCTGCGGTGGCCGGGAGCGGCCACTGCACTCCAGTCTGGGCGACAGAGTGAGGCTCCAACTCAAAACAAAAAAAAAAAAAAAAAAATGTTACTTTTTTTGAACGGATGTGCCTGTAGTACACAGTTCAAAAGGTGAGAAAATGTTTATAGCAAAGTTTTTCTTCTACTCTTGTCTCTCTGGCATCAGATTTTCCTTTCCATAAGCTACCACTGTTACCAATTTAATGTGTCTCTTTACAGATAATTATTTGACTAAGCAAGCTCATATATATCCTTCAACTTAAATGCACCTTATATATTTAAATAATTGTCCTAACCTTTTTCTTCTAATCCCACTTAAAATATATACTGGAAATGAAAGTATCTGTATTTTTAACAAGCACCCTAGATGATTATGATGTGAAGCCAAATATAGAACCCATTCATTGGCCCAGGGCTGAGAGATTAAGTTCAATTCATTATGACATATTAGAAACTCAAGGATATTGAAAAGATGCTCTTAAAAGTAGCCTTGCTAACTTGACCTCTGCCTCCTTGTCTTCTGAGACTAATTAAGTCATTTTCCCACAGAAGCCAGGAAAAACTAGCCATTCAAATGGATGTTATCAAAGCTGTCAATTTTCAATTCTTGGAATTCTTTCCTCCCTATTATTACCTGAAATAAAAAAACCTGACAATTTCTATGTTATGCAATACATTCCTGGGATTTGGGTTGACATGAGGTTTGATCGTCACTGAATTAGGGCTGATTAAGTAGTTTAATGGAGCCACAACCGAAATACTTTCCTTACTAATCCTTAATGACACAACGGCATCCAATACCTCCCCCAGAATTGCTTTCTTACCATCTGGGCATAAGCAGTTAACTTAGAAACTGAGAGAGAAGACCGCATTGTCAGGCCGAACTTGGTGAATTCTGGAGTTCTGGCTCCCGATGTTGACCTGACTTGATCTCTATCTGGGGGCGATGGCTGGGCCCCTGTGCAGCTCTATCTTTCTCATCCCATCTACCCCAGGGACTGCAGAGGAGTGTTTCCTTTTGGAAGGAGGGAAGGTTCTCCAAAGACCACCCGAGAATCTCTTCTGCAGTGTCTGTTTCACCACGAGTTGCAAGCATCCTCACCTCCCCTACACGGTGCCCGGAAAAAGCGTACCGGGCTCCCCAAGTGCGGCAGGGAACCTACCGGGATCCAGCGCTGGTTTACCCCACCTCCCAGCTGAAGGGGCTCGGAAGGGCTCGGTCTCTGCCCGAGCCCACAGCAAGGGGAGGGTGTGACTCCGCCATCCCCTCTCCCCGGATTCAAACGTGAAGCGGGGCTTAGGGGCCCCAAAACTCATACCCCTGTCTTCACCACTCGGGCTTTTCTTCCACTCTCTGGGCCCTGTGTCTCTCCGTGAGTCGTGGCCCAGGTCTCCCCACCTTGGTCAGTGGACACCCTCTTGCCTGGATTCCGCCCTCCTCCCCACCAGACCCCTTTCCCTCACCCAGCATGATGGGGCTGAGCCGCCGGGCCAGGCCCTTGGACAGGTCGTACACGTAGAGCTTCACCGGATAGAGATTCGGCGGCTCCATTGGGACCCGTGGCGGCGGCAGCCACCGCGGCCCTCAGGCACCCCGCAGCGACTTGGACCTTCCCTACCCGACCGGGGTGGGGAGTCGAGGGACGGGGGGACCGAGCCCGGGCCCGGCCTGAGGGGCGGGGGAGAGGCCGCCCTACACTGCTCGCGCCCTCGCACCCGCCACCGGCGACGACTACTGTGAGGTGACAGAGGGGACGGGGAGGGTCCGCACGGAAGTGGGGGCGGGGGCGGGAGGCGCTTTTGCGCATGTGCCTACCGCCTTGCTGGGAGGCGTGGGCGGGGCTTTGCGGAAAGGGGCGGGGCTTTCGCTGATGGGGTTGGTTTTCGTTAGGAACGTCTGTACAAGCTAGTTGTGAAAGTGGGCGTGTCAGCCTTACGGAAAGAAACGCGCACTATGCGTGATGACGTAAGGGCCGTTGATTGGGAGCGAAAACTGGAGCCCGCGCATGCGTGGTGTCCTTCGGTTTAATTTGATCTTTTCTCTGCGTGAGAGGTAGGTTGGCTGTGTCCTTTGTGTGTTGCTCGCTAGCTAGGGCTTCGCCCACTCATTCTCGCGCGCCCCCCTAACCTTGCCCGAGGGCAGCGTCAGCCTGAAGCGTGCGAATCTGAGGGGAGAGACAGGTTCTGGACCACGCTTTTTCCTCCCGGGAGAGGCGGCACCCTGCGTTTGAGGCCCGCCTGCGTTTGAGACCTCATTGGGCATGCCTGAACAGTTGGGGGAGGTTTTTGGGCGGGATGAGGACGAATGGGTCTGCTTGAGAACAGAGTATCCCTCAGCGGGAATCCCTCACAGACCCAATGGCCTCGAAGACAGACGGGATTGCCCTATGTCCGGCCACTGGCCCTGAAGTGAGGGATAGCTAAGGCGAGGGTGCTGCTGGAATGATCCCTAGGCCCATTTACCCAAGCACTCGAACTACCGAGCTCTTGAGGCAGCAGGATCCATCATCCACGTTCCTCACTAGTAACCCTAAGCTTGCTAGCTTTTTGAAATTAATTAATTTTTAATTTTAATTTTTTTTGAGTCTGAGGCTCACTTTGTCGCCCAGGCTGGAGTGCAGTGGTGCGCTGCTCATGGCAACGCCACGCTTTTATTTATTTATTTATTTATTTATTTATTTATTTATTTAGAGTCAGAGTCTCACTTTGTCGCTCCGGTGATTCTTCCGCCTCAGCTATCCAAGTAGCTGGAACCCAGGCATGAGCCACTACACCCGGCTACTAATTATTTGATTTATTGTAGAGATGAAGTCTTGCCAAATTACCCAGGCTGGTCTCGAACTCATGGGCTCAGGCAGTTCTTTACCTCAGCCTCCCAAAGTCCTGGGATTATAGGTGTGAGCCACCATGTCCTGCCTAACCCCAAGCTTTTAGAGCAGATCTCACAAAAGGCTAGAAATTGATATTTTTTAGCCAGATGCGATGGCTCACACCTGTAATCCCAGCACTTTGGGAGATGGAGGCAAGAGGATTCTCTGAGTCCAGGGGTTATAGACCAGCCTTGGCAACTTGGTGAGACCTTGTCTGTATAATAAATCAAAAAAAAAAAAAAATTACCTGGGCGTGGTGGTGGTGCATGCCTGTAGTTCCAGCTATTTGGAAGGCTGAGGTGGAAGGATTGCCTGAGCCCAGCGGGTCAAGGCTGTGGTGGCCTTGAGCTCGCCACTGTACTCTAGCCTGGGTGACAAAGTGACACTCCTACTAAAAAAAAATAAAAAATGGATACTTCTTCTTGCTTCTTACTAATCTTCTTTCACCTAGAGAGCAAATAATCAACATGTCAGGGTGGTCGTCTTACTACAAAACCGAGGGTGATGAACAAGAAGAAGAAGAACATGAAGAGGGCCTTGATGCAGGTGGTAAGTAACTTTAACATGTAGTACTGTTCTTTGTGTGAAGAAAGACCTTCATTGCCTATCTCTGAGGGATGAACTTTGCTGTCTAGTGGTCCACCCCTCTCTTCTCAGGTAATTTGAAATACTTTTCTGTCTTTGAACTTTGCATAGCTAGCCTAGGCTCCTGTATTCAGGTTCTACTCTGGTCTGCAGAAAATTTCTAGCCTTAAATTTTTGCTGGGCACTGGACCCCAGTAACTGACCATGTTCATCTTTCATCACCTTAAGTGATTCAGGTGAGGACTTTCCTCACCAGGAAAGTAGTTTTATTCATTCCAGGACCTCAATGTAAGATACATTCATCTTAGAATAACTGCAGCAACCAAAGAGTAAACATTAACAACACAACACAGTTATAAGGGAATTACTGATTTCCTCACTATAGCCTTCAGGTTCAAGAGTGTAACACATAAGGCAAAAGAAGAAAAATAAGGGATACATGTAATCTACATACTGGTTAATTTAACTCCTAGGTGGAAATTTTTAAAGTGGTGTTTTGGGTGTGTGTTTTTATAAATAGTGAGAAACACATTTAAAAAAAAGAGGAAATTGCCTGGCTCGGTGGCTCAGCCTGTAATCCCGCGCCATGGGAGACTGAGGTGAGTGGATTGTCTGAGCCCACGGGTTCAAGACCCACCTGGGCAACTTGGTGAGACGATAAATAAAAAAAAAATCAGCCAGGCGTGGTAGCGCGCGCCTGTAGTTACGGCTACTTGGAAGGCTGAGGCGGAAGGATTGCCGGAGCCCAGCAGGTCCAGGCTGCGGTGGCCAGGAGCGGCCATTGCACTGCAGTCTGGGCGACAGAGTAAGACTCCAACTCAAAAAAAAAAAAAAAAAAGAGAAAATTAACTGTAATTTATATATTCTACTATGCAAACACAGCCATTACTAGCATTTTGCATATTACCTTCATGCATCTTTCAGTCTTTATTTCTTATTTTTTTGAGTTGGAGTCTCACTCTGTCAATCAGGCTGCAGTGGCACACTCATGGCCACACAACCTTGACCTACTGGGCTCAGGTGATCCTTGCTCCCCAGCCTTCTAAGTAGCTGGAACCACAGACATGCGCCACCATGCCCAGCTAATTTTTAAAAAATTTATTGTAGAGACAAGGTCTCACCAAGTTGCCCAGGCTGGTCTCAAACCCGTGGACTCAGGCAATCCTCTCACCTTGGCCTCCCAAAGTGCTGGGATTATAGGTGTGAGCCACTGTGCCCAGCTTTTATTTCTTAACTGTATATATTCCTCATTGTCTGATTTTCCGTATTGTTATAATCATAGTGCATATACATTTTTTCATTTTAATTTACATTAGTCTTCCAAAGATAATTTAAACATTAATTTTATGTTCTTTTTTCTTATTTTGTATCATAGAAATATCTTTCCATGTAACTATATGTATATTCTTTATAACTTCTTTTTTCCATTTTAGTTTGCATTAGTCTTCCAAAGATAATTTAAACATTAATTTTATGTTCTGCCTTTTTTCTTATTTTGTATCATAGAAATATCTTTCCATGTAACTATATGTATAGTCTTTATAACTTATTTTAAATGTACTATAATCTTTTCATTCTACTTTCTGTTGAGCATTTTAGTTTTTTTCAGGTTTTTTTTTTTTTTTTTGGAATCTCAGTCTCTCACCCAGGATGGAGAATTACCTGAGCCTTGACCTTTTGGGCTCAGGTGATCCTCCTTGTCAGCATCCCAAGTAGCTGGAACCACAGGCATGCACAACCATGCCTGGCTAATTTTTCTTGATTTATTGTAGAGATATGGTCTCCCCAAGTTCCCCAGGCTGGTCTTGAACCCCTGGGCTCAGGCAGTCTTTTCACCTCAGCCTCTCAGAGTGCTGAGATTACAGGCTTGAACCATCATGCCCGGCCCTTTTTCAGGTTTTGTTTTGAGTTGGAGTCTCACTCGGTCGCCCAGACTGGAGTGCAGTGGCCGCTCCCGGCCACTGCAGCCTCGACCTGCTGGGCTCCGGCAATCCCTG